TCCTTCCAAATAGCAGGATCACGCGCTATTGCCCACACATTAACATGAACATTGGAGCCTTTAGGGATGTCGTAGCCGCCAATTTTGACATTGTCATGGGCGCGATGAGGGAGCATGAGAGGGGTTGGTGGGTGCAGCCTCATTGCCTCCTTGGCTACACATTGTAAATATGGTAGGTTTGAGAAGTCAGCTTCAGTCATGACCCGCTCGAACCCTATGACTCGGTCTAACTCGTCCTGAGCCTTTTGTTGCACTCTAGGATTCCTCACCAGCTCCGCCATGGCCCATTCCACCGAGATTGCTGTCGTATCCATACCTGCCGTGATCATATCCTGCATTTACGTTTGTTTTAATTTAAGTTAATAGTCTTGAATAAGTAGGTGAGAAATTGACTAGTTATTAAAAATTTAAACAAAATAATTGTATGGGTGAAATCTTACCCAAAGCAACCCAATAATGGTGTCTTCACTTAGGTCATACTTTTCCTGCAAGGTAAGCAACGCATCCACAAAATGTTGCTTAGCACCTGATTTTTGGCGGGCGAGTGTGTGCTCCTCCATGATAACTCTGGTGAGGTGGTCCCGTTTTGCGTTGTGTTTGGCGAACGCCTCCTCCTCCAATGGAAACATCCAGCGGAGCCAGGGGATGTGCTCTGCCATAGCCAGAGACGCGCCGAGCTTCAGACCGTTACCGACAATGGCCTTGAATTCCTTCCCTTGGTCCTCTATTACGCCGTCGGAATTCACAAATCGCTTCCCGAATGCAAGCCTCGTTATGTTGTTGAATGCTACTGATCCCAAGTACTTCCTCACCACCACACCTTTCTCTGTATGCAAAAATTGTGTTTAATTTAAATATTTTATTTGAAATTTCTAATTAAAAAAAAAAAGGATTAGAAGCATGAATCATGTACTTATTTTGAGTAAATAAGCATGATTCACGTGTGCTAAGATATTGAAGATAGAACAAATACGATTAGTATTTAAAAATATATAAATTATAATATTATATAAAATTATATATTTATAACTACGAAGTATTATTAAAAAAATAAATTTATATAACATTTCATGTATACTTTTAAGTAAAATTAAAAAATTATATAATAATGTATCGTAATTATAAATATATAATAATAAATAATATTATAATTATATTATTTTTAAATTTCAAGTTTTTAATGTGATCTACCGACACTCTTTATATTCTTTAATTCTTGTGGCCCAGATTGGATGACTACTTTATCAAGTGACTATGGAAGTCAAACTAAAACAAACTGTCCATCCAAATCGGGTCACCCACCCGCTGCCATTTTGCTCAACTGTTTTCTACGCAACCTGCTACCCATAAAAGTGAAATTATTTATAATCAATTTCTCATCTAGGACGCCTATATCATCAATCATCAACCATCTTTCACCCAAACATTTAATTAAGATTTGGTTCTCTTTGTTAAAATTAAGTTTTCAAACACTATAATTAAATCTCTCCACCCTAAATAATTAAAAGAATAATATGCTTATACTTAGTGAGGATTGATGTCTCAATTTCTGATAAAAATTTGGGATTTTAATTTAAGGAGCTTAAATTTAATTAAATTATGGTTTAAATCTCTTGACCTAAAATACTTAAAAAATAAATTTATATTTAAGTTCTGTTTGAGTTTTTATTTTTTAAATATTTAGTAATTATTATTATAT